AGCGTAGACATGTATATACTACAATTTGTTCTGAAATAAATGATGATGTAATGTGGAAGTAGATTTAATAATAACAACATGTAACAGTGGTATATATGTGAAGAAGTGTGTCAAGGTCAAAAGTATGGAAAAGGAAAGTTTGGTAGGGAAGGGAAGGGAAAGGAAATCTGGAAAAAAAGTTAGTGCAAGGATGATGTCATCATAATGGAGCGAAAGAGATGACGCCATTGTTCTGCAGAAGTGCAGAGTAGGCAGGAAAGTGTGTGGGTATTATCGATCTCATAAAGAAGACCCGACTTTTCGCAGAGGTATTAGTGAACCCCCTGACGACAAGGTAGACAGCAGGAGTTCACAACATCGATGTGATGCATTCTACAGCTGTGACAAAAAAGTAGAGTTGGACGAGTGAGTGGTATACGAACAGTTACGTAATAAGATGTAGTATAAGAACAGAAGAAACATATTTATAAAATCCGTCAACGTAATAAACGACGTAATAAAAGTGTAAAACGGACCATTTATTAATTGTTTTGAAGCATAAGGAGAAATAATCCTGCAATAAGTTATGTTCTTAAAAGATGCTACCCAAAATAAATTATTGGAATTTAAAAAAAAGCGTCTCCTAGGAAAGATAAAATCGTAAATAATCAGGTATTATCATATTTCATCATTTACAGCTAATGTTATCTCCGTACATGTTGCTGTATTACCACTTCTAACACTCCTTTACCTACCCCGTTTACCCTATTCTTTTTTTTGTTTTTTATTGGGTTTATTTAGTTTTTTTTTTACGATTTTTAATTACTACACCCTAATTATTACTATAAACTAATTACAATACCTACATACTTACTACAAATACACTTAACACTTAACCATTCACACACACTTTTCCGCCGGATCTTTGGGTACATCCGCCAACTGCTGCGCCAGCTTTTGCGCAGCCACACAGAGCCGCTCATCCCTCAGGCGTTTCGTTTCCACCTCATGCCCTAGGGCGTCTTCTTCGAGCCACAACCTATGTTCTTCTTCCACTAGTTGCGTCTTTTTCTCCGGTAGCTGCAGGAGTTCTCTTTGAAGACGAGTGACCTCGTCTTCTAAAATAGTCCTGCACTCTCGCACTTGGGCAAACTCTGTGCTCACCTTACCGCGAGCATCGCGCTTCCTCTCCCAAGCTGACATCAGTGCCCCCATCTTTTCTCGCGCATGATGAGCACTTGGCATGACGCCTTCTAAACACTCCATCTCCTGCGAAAGCGTCATGGGGGTGTCGGGCAGAGGTGATATAGGTGATATACACCACAGAGGCATAGTCACATCTGTGGCACATGTACTTTTTCCCATCAACTCTTCCCGTTGTTGCAATGTTGGAGCCGTTGTCGTCGGTGGAGGCAGCGTTTCTGCCGGGGTCGCCGTGCTTGTGGTGGACATCGTCCCCGAACCGCTCCACGTCGGAGACGCAACGGGACTTCGGTATCCTTAAATTTTTCCCAACCATTCTTTTTAAAAATCTTACCGTCCACTTCGCACAATGTTCTAAAACAGAATGATACAATGCTCCCCGCTTACCAACTACTCCCCTCGTACCCCCCACCCTCCTACTAAACAAGTTTTTCGCCTCTCAACCACCATCGGAATGTGGTTTGCAGACGTGACGTCATCCGCACAGTTAACACCTGCGTTTTCGCGTACTACGCATGCGTCAAATGTTCGCGAGTATGGTTGTTCACTCAACGAAGCTGCTCGCATGAATTTTCTGTAAACTGCCTTCCAATTTACGTGTGGTGTAAATTAATAACATATTATCAACTACTAATTATTTATAATATATTTATGAAATACACATTTACTACATTATCAGCTTCAACCACTTTACTAAACACTATAATTTCCCTCCTACCCACTATCTTTTGCCTCACTCACACTACATCGAGCAACTTCCTTTTTTCCCATCGTTTGGAGAAGATGTCCTACCACTACATCGATACGTACCGTTTCTTACACAACCTAACAATAATTCTACAATCTGTAATTTTACATTTGTCGATGAATCCCCCGTGAAGCCTGGCTGCAGTATACTTGCATCACACATATTTCCTGTTGTCAGTGGTCTTCCGCATTCGTAACAATAATGATGATGTCTACCGTGAACATGTAATACGAACACGAACACTAAATCCTCACATTTACAAACCTCCTGCCCTACACCGTCTTCTTCGTAGCAACTGCTACACAACACCAACGTTGTATTTTCATGTAAGTTTAGCAACACCTTCCCTTCGGTACACGTGTATTCGTTAATGTTGTCACACACACTACGTCTCAGAATATGTTTGCCGCATTTTAAAATATAAAAGTTAATTCTCGTTTTGATATCTTCGTTGTTTATTTTCAACAAAATAATTTCCCTTGGATTCAGTTCCGCGACAAAACATTTGGCGACCGTGACAGGACTGTTTTTGGGTTATTATTATTGAATTATTGGTTTTTGGGTGTTGTATTAAAACGAGAAAAATGGAACCGTTGGAGAAGAAGAGTGTTAAGAATTGGTTTTACGAAGGCCCTGAATTCATTACAAGTGATGTTGGACAATGCAGAATCTACAATTGCAAGTTTGAGAGTCGCGTTTTGTACTTTGGAAGATAAGTTAACCGATTTAAGTTATTGTCAAGTTTCTATAATTGAGGCCATATTAGAGACCGCTACCGAGACTGAGTTACAAAAGGAGTACGATGAAGCAGATGAGTACAAGCATAGGTTTTTAACAGCCAAATACTTGTTCACCGAACGTACCATGGGTGATAGTAATTTAGTGCAAAATTTGGTTGATTGTGCGGTCCCGTCGGGTTCTTCTAACGGTGAAAACAAGAGACCTTATAAGTTGCCGTCGATAGAAATTGTTAAATTTAACGGAGACATTCGTGAGTGGCAGTCTTTTTGGACTTGTTTCAAGAAAATACATGAGGACAAAGATATGTGCAATGAAAACAAGTTCCAGTATTTGAAACAAGTGGTTGTGCCACCAACTGGAAGCAATTATGATAAGGTAATAAGAAGTTTAAAGAGTAGGTTCGGTCAAGACTTTTGATTGAAGTTAACGTGCGTGAATTGTTGCAACTTGTGCTGCAAAATGCTATTAAAGGACGTGGTAATATTTCACTTTCAAGCTTGTATGATAGATTGGAATCTCATTTGAGGGCTCTGGAAAGATAAGGAGTTACCACGGACAAGTACGCGACAATGTTGTATCCGTTAGTAGAATCTTCCTTGCCGGAGGACTCATTGCGCTCGTGGCAACGCAGTGACGCTGGGAAACACAAGTCGGACGCGGAAGATGAAAAACCGCGATCCAAAGACAGACTCACCCGTCTTATAGAATTTATCGAGAGGGAGGTATAAAGTGAGTTGCGAATTTCGTTGGCGTTGCAAGGTTTTAATGTAGATTCTGGGCACGAATCTGATATTAAGAAATCTAAGCCGTATAAATTTCATAGAAGTATTCCGAGCGCGATGGGTTTGTTAATGACCAAAGGAAAAGACCACACTTGTATATTTCGCGACGCAAAGATCACGAAAGTGAGGGTTGCAATAAAGCTAAACGAATGAGTTTATCGGGTAAACAAGAGTGTGTGAAAGGAGCTCGTGCGTGTTTTAAATTCCTTAAAATGGGGCATGGTTTCAAAACTTGTCGAGTCCGCGTAAAATGTTCGCGATGTGAACGAAGACACGTGAGTTTGATGTGTCCAGATGAGAAACCAAGAGAACAAAGGGATGAAATTGCGAGTGCAGATACTTCCGCGCCAGTGTGGAAAGAGTTGAATTGTGTCGCGAGCATTTCTAATAACAAAATGGTGTTCCTGCAAACATTAAAGGTGAACATTTACAGCGATCACAAAGATTTTACGTGACGAAAGAAATAATCGAAAAATTGGGTTACCAATCGGTGGGTGAACAAAGATTAAGTCATATGCTTTTCGGTGGCGGGCAGTCGGAAGTTGTCGCACACAAAGAATGTCGTGTACGAATGCAAAGTTTAGAGAACGATTTTGCATGTAATGTCGTCGCCCTGGACCAAGAGGTCATTTGTGGTCGTATAGAACCTATTGAGAATAAAAAGTGGCTTCACGAACTAAACGAATTTAATATAAGATTAACGGATGTATGGGACTGTGACGATCCAATATCGATTCTTATCGGCGCCGATGTTGCGGGAAAAATATTGACCGGTTGTCGTAAAGAACTGAAGAGTGGTTTAGCAGCTTTCGAATCGTTGTTAGGTTGGACCATTATGGGCGCAGTAAGAAAAGAAAATGTACGGGAAAACTCTACTGTCGCCGCGATATCGTTGTACGTTAAAAATTGCGATTTGAAAGATTTGTGGTCTCTAGATGTGTTAGGTATAAGAGATCCTATGAAAACAAGAAGAAGTGATGTACAGAGAATTCTTGAAAACCGTTTTTATCAACAGTGAAAATCGATATGAAGTACAGTTACCATGGTCGGAAAACCACCCCCCGCTGTCCGACAATAAAAGTGTTGCTATTAAACGTCTACAAACTACTACGAAGAAGCTTAGGATCGAAGGAAGATATGAAGCCTACGATGCGGTATTCACAGAATGGTTAGCCGAAGGAATCATCGAACGTGTGTTAGACAAGGAGATGGACATTTGGGGACACTATCTACCACACCGTCATGTTGTTAAGGAACGTAGTACAACTGTAATTCGACCCGTTTTTGATGCCTCTGCCAAACAGCCTCTTTCACTTAATCTGAACGAATGCTTACAAAAGGGACCCAATCTCATCGAGCAACTCCCTTCTATTTTATTGAGATTCCGGGAAGGGAATATAGGTGTAATAGCAGATATTAAAAGAGCTTTCTTACAGATCAGTATTGATCCTAAAGATCGAAATTTTCTAAGATTTTTTTGGTATGATGATCAAAATAATTTAATTGTACTACGTCATTGTAGGGTTGTATTTGGTATATGTTCCAGCCCATTTATGTTAGGCGCAGTAATTGAATTACATTTGAAGGGTATTCTTGAGTCATTACAGAATGACTGTAAATCGATTTTTACTCGTAGTAATATTGAAAAATTGTTAAATGATTTCTATGTTGATAATTGTGTAACCAGTGTAAACTCGACTACTCAATTAAATGAATTTATGTATCAGGCGAGGAAATCGATGGAGCTTGCAGGTTTTGATCTTCGCGGTTGGGAATATAATGGTGATGTTTCCACAGAGAGTATCACTCCGGTTTTAGGCATTATGTGGGATAAGAAACGAGATGTATTATCTTTAAATGTTGAAAATTTAGAAAATTTAGATTTACAGAAAATAACTAAAAGAGATATTTTGTCTTGCGTACATCGTATTTTTGATCCGTTGGGTTTTGTTTGTCCCGTAACACTTGGTCCGCGGATATTATTGCAAGAAGTATGGGCAAGAAATCTCACGTGGGATGACGACGTCGGTACTGAAATTAAAACTCGCTTTATAAAATGGTACGAGGGAATTATTGAATTAAATAAAGTAGAGATACCGCGTTGTCTCATCGGAGGAACGGATTCGCACGATGAAATTAGTTTGCATACATTTTGCGATGCAAGTAAATCGGCATACGCGGCTGTTATTTTTATTCGCATAAAAGATAGTGAAGGAGTCAAAGTTAGATTCGTACAAGCTAAATCGCGAGTTTCTCCTATGAAAAGTAAGGAAAATGTACGTAATAGTATACCACGTTTAGAATTATTGGCGGCAAACGTTGGAGCGAGATTGGCTGACGCTACGACAAGAATGTTAAATACAAAATTTGTAAATCTTCATTTTTGGTCAGATTCATCGACGGTAATAGCGTGGATACATCGTGAACACAACTGGAGTACATTTGTTCATAATCGTGTAAAAGAAATCCGCGAAATCTCAGATCCTAAATCTTGGCGGCATGTTCCGGGTAATTTGAATCCCGCTGACCTTCCTTCGAGAGGGTGTACTGTAGAGCGTTTATTATCATCGCATTGGTGGGATGGGCCGGAATGGTTATATAGAGATTCTGAGGATTGGCCGAATAGTAACGTCGATCTATTGTATAATGAGGAAGAAATACAATCTGAATTGAAAAAGAGTGCAAAGCATGGCAACAGTAGTTGTTTAGTTGCAATATCAGCTGAGCCTAAATTATTAAAAGTTTTGGAAAAGTTTTCGAATTATTCTAAGGTTTTACGTATAGTTGCATGGATAAAAAGATTTATAAACAATTGTAGGAATAGTTCAGGTAAATTACATGAAGACAGTCTAGGCTGTGCGGAAATTATGGCCGCAGAGAAAAGCGTATTAAAAATGTGCCAAGAAAATTTAACAGATTTTGAGAATAGAACCAATAAACAGTTTATGTTATTTACGGATGAAGATGGTTTAGTTCGCGTAAAAACAAAAATTGTACTCAGAGAAGATTCGTTTAATTTCAAGTGTCCATATATTCTACCCAATAATATTAGTATCATTACTTTGATTGTAAGAGACAAACATGAGAATTTAAATCATGCTGGTGTACAGATTACATTAAATTCATTAAGAGAGAAGTACTGGATATTAGGGGGTAGGCGAATAATTAGATCCGTAATTAGAAAATGTGTAGTATGTCGTCGTTATGAGGCCCAGCCTTTAAAATCGGTTCCGGCACCACTACCATTAAATCGCGTTAGGGACGCGGCGATATTTGAGGTGATTGGTATAGACTTTGCCGGGCCAGTATATCTCGAAAGCGCGAAAAAGGCTTGGATATGCATTTTCACATGTGCAGTTTTTAGAGCTGTGCACTTGGAGTTAGTAAATTCATTAAATGTAGCGGCAGTACTCATGGCACTTAGACGATTTATAGCTAGAAGGGGCAGGCCCAGCATTATCTACAGCGATAACGGTACAAATTTCAAGGGGCTTAATAACGAATTAACCAAATTAGACTACAAAAAGTTAGGAAGTACCGTTGCACTACAAAAAATAGAATGGCGATTTAATCCTCCCACTGCGGCGTGGTGGGGAGGATTTTGGGAGCGCCTTATAGGAATTCTGAAAAAATTATTACGTCGGACCCTTAGAAGAACAAGTCTGGATTATGAGGAAATGTCAACTGTTTTAGTCGATTGTGAGGCTATAATTAATTCAAGACCGATAACATTTATGTCAGATGTTGAGACTGAGTTCAAACCATTGGCTCCATCGGATTTCTTACAGGAAATAAAAGAGATAGGGGTTTTGGACTTAGATATTATTGAAACAAATAAAATAAATAAAAGGTATGCGTATAGGCAAAAGTTGAAAGAGGAGTTAAGACGCAGATTTAGGAGTGAATATTTAGGAATGTTAGTAAAACAAAAAGCTAATGTAAAAAATACTGATAAGATTAGTGTAGGGGATATTGTGTTAATAGGAAGTGATAACACTAAGAGACTTGAGTGGCCATTGGCTAAGGTTACGGATGTGATTCCAGGCAAAGATGGAATTATTCGTGTGGTGCGATTAACGACAGCTTCGGGCGAGTTAGTGCGACCGATACAAAAGGTTTTTCCGTTAGAATTAAATTATGACAGTGTTAACAATTGCGTGAAAAACTCTGTGCAAGAGGAACAAGACATATCGGAAAATAAAGTCCAATGTATCAAATCAATTGAAGGTAATAAAGAGAATCCAGTTGAATGTAAAGAACCCTATGTAACTAAGACTGGCAGAAAGGTTAAGAAAGTCGAACGATTAATGTATTTTAATTAGTCACTAGTGTTAGTTACGTTTATTATTAATGTTTTTTTGTTTTTTGAGATAAATAATGCGTTTTATCTCAAGGTGGGGAGGATGTTGAATTTGTAAGGATTTAGTTGTTTTTTTTGCATGTTTTGTCATGTCTGTTTGATACGAGCGGTGTCTAGCTCAAAGGCAAGTGCCGCGCTGGGGGCTGCGATGTCTTGCACAACAGCATTTGTGTTTTTGATTTGTTTAGTCTACCTATCGTGGTGGAAATAAGAATAAGTAAAATTTGCTATGTTTAGTTTAGTCAGTAATAGATAGTAGTAAGCACAACATGTATTGAAGTAGTCTTGTTTTCCGCATTTTAAAATATAAAAGTTAATTCTCGTTTTGATATCTTCGTTGTTTATTTTCAACAAAATAATTTCCCTTGGATTCAGTTCCGCGACAAAACATTTGGCGACCGTGACAGGACTGTTTTTGGGTTATTATTATTGAATTATTGGTTTTTGGGTGTTGTATTAAAACGAGAAAAATGGAACCGTTGAAGAAGAAAAGAACTGTGTTAAGAATTGGTTTTACGAAGGCCCTGAATTCATTACAAGTGATGTTGGACAATGCAGAATCTACAATTGCAAGTTTGAGAGTCGCGTTTTGTACTTTGGAAGATAAGTTAACCGATTTAAATTATTGTCAAGATTCTATAATTGAGGCCATATTAGAGACCGCTACCGAGACTGAGTTACAAAAGGAGTACGATGAAGCAGATGAGTACAAGCATAGGTTTTTAACAGCCAAATACTTGTTCACCGAACGTACCATGGGTGATAGTAATTTAGTGCAAAATTTGGTTGATTGTGCGGTCCCGTCGGGTTCTTCTTCTAACGGTGAAAACAAGAGATCTTATAAGTTGCCGTCGATAGAAATTGTTAAGTTTAACGGAGACATTCGTGAGTGGCTGTCTTTTTGGAGTTGTTTCAAGAAAATCCATGAGGACAAAAATATGTGCAATGAAGACAAGTTCCAGTATTTGAAACAAGCGGTTGTGCCGGACTCAAGAGCAGCGGAGTTAGTTAAAAGTTACCCACCAACTGGAAGCAATTATGATAAAGTAATAAGAAGTTTAAAGAGTAGGTTCGGTCAAGACGAACTTTTGATTGAAGTTTACGTGCGTGAATTGTTGCAACTTGTGCTGCAAAATGCTATTAAAGGACGTGGTAATATTTCACTTGCAAGCTTGTATGATAGATTGGAATCTCATTTGAGGGCCCTGGAAACATTAGGAGTTACCACGGACAAGTGCGCGGCGATGTTGTACCCGTTAGTAGAATCTTCCTTGCCGGAGGACTTATTACGCGCGTGGCAACGCAGTGACGCTGGAAAACACAATTCGGACGCGGAAGATGGAAAACCGCGATCCAAAGACAGACTCACCCGTCTTATAGAATTTATCGAGAGGGAGGTACAAAGTGAGTTGCGAATTTCGTTGGCGTTACAAGGTTTTAATTTAGATACTGGGCACGAATCTGATATTAAGAAATCTAAGCCGTATAAATTTAATAGAAATATTCCGAGCGCGATGGGTTTGTTAATGACCAAAGGAAAAGACCACACCTGTATATTTTGCGACGCCAAAGATCACGAGAGTGAGGGTTGCAATAAAGCTAAAAGAATGAGTTTATCGGGTAAACAAGAGTGTGTGAAGAGAGCGCGTGCGTGTTTTAAGTGTCTTAAAATCGGGCATGGTTTCAAAACTTGTCGAGTCCGCGTAAAATGTTCGCGATGTGAACGAAGACACGTAAATTTGATGTGTCCAGATGAGAAACCAAGAGAACAAAGGGATGAAATTGCGAGCGCAGATACTTCCGCGCCAGTGCGGAAAGAGTTGAATTGTATCGCGAGCATTTCCAATAACAAAATGGTGTTCCTGCAAACATTAAAAGTAAAAATTTACAGCGATAATAGAGAACTGATTGCGCGCGTGTTGATTGATAGTGGATCACAAAGATCTTACGTGACGAAAGATATAATCGAAAAATTGGGTTACCAATCGGTGGGTGAACAAAGATTAAGTCATATGCTTTTCGGTGGCGGGCAGTCGGAAGTTGTCGCACACAAAGAATATCGCGTACGAATGCAAAGTTTAGAGA